GGCATCTCCGCCCCGGACGGAGGCACCGCCCCCTTAAAGGGCCCGCGCCTTTAGGACCCGGCCTCAACTCTGCCCTCTGCTAGGTGGGCAGCGGCTGGCCTGCTGGGGCAGCTTTCCCCAACAGATGGCAAAGAGCATCCCAGAAACTAGAGAGGGACCTGGCCCGCCCCCCAGGAAGTGCCGCGGACGGAAGGGCGGGCCTGGCATATCGTGGGAAAATTTGAAACTCAGGTCTTGGGCTGGGTGGCAGAATCACAGCCAGTGACCCGGCCTGGGCATCCGGCCCTTTCTCTGGGGACAAGCTGGGAGCCGCCAGGACTCCACTGGAGTCCGTTCGGATTTGCAAAGGGAGGTGCTTGGCTTTGTCCTGGGGACCTAGGCCTCAGGTGTGCTTTGTCCCCTCTGCAGTGGTGACTCAAAGGGTGGGCAAGAGGCCATCTGTGAAAGCTATGGGCAGCTGCCCTGGGAGGGAACCCCGCAGACCGGGTGCTGGGCCCACTGGCCCGCCACCCTCCTTCACCCCCAGAGGTGGAGCAGAGGGAGACCTTAGGAATGGGAGTGGGGTGGAAGAGCCCAGCAATGGAAGCAAGAGAGGAGCCTGAAAACTTTAAATCTTTAATTTTTGAGGCTCTTTTTCTTATGCTTCCAAAAGGAAAGGAGTGTGTAGCTCCATCGCCTGTACATTGTCCGCGGCCCTGGCGCCGCCCCACAGGGGTCAGTGCGCTGCCGGGTGGGCAGGAATGTGGCGGGGTTCTCATGCAGCCCCGCCGGCCGGCAGATGGGGCAGGTCCTTATTGCTGAGGTCCAGGCCGGCTGGCAGCTAGGCGCGCTGGCTGGGCAGCTCCTGGGAGATGAATCGGCGCAGGCGCTCCAGGTACTGGCTGTAGAGCTCTATGTCGTTGTGGCCTGCGCCCTCCACCCACAGGGGCTCCACGGCCTTGGGGCAGCGCTCGTAGAGCGCCAGGCCGTGCGAGAAGTCGATCACTTCGTCCTCGGTGCCGTGGATGATGAGCACGGGCGACGTGATCTTGGACACCTTCTCAATGCTGCGGGTGGGGTTGGGGGCGAAATCACACCTCCGCGCCGCGCGTCCCTGCCCTCGCCCCCTGCCCGCCCCGCCCCCACTCACTTGGGGAATGCATCGAAGCAGTAGGTCTTCTTGGTGTCGGGGAAGGCAACGCGCATGCCCGAGGTCAGCGGGGAGTGCAGCACCACAGCAGCGCACTCGTAGCGCGAGGCCAGGTCTACGGTGGGCACCGTGCCAATGCTCTGCCCATACAGGATGATGCTGTCCGGGCTGATGCCATACCTGGTGCGGGGCAGGGTCAGCGCTTGGGGGGCTCCCTCTCACCCACCCACAGAGGGCAACAGGCACGCAGATGCACGGCCTCCTCCCAGCCCTGGGATTAGCGCACCCTCTGGCCACACCTGGGGGCAGCGTCTGCACCTCTGCCCGAAACTTTTAGGGGTGCTGTGTCCAGCTGCCTCCTCCCACCTGGCCGGGTCCTGGGTGTCTAGTGCTTGGGCCTTACAATGGCTGGGCCCTCCCCCCTCTAGGAACACCTAACCCGCTAGATAGGCAGGGCCTGGGACCTCAAGGTGCAGTACCCAGTTCGCTCCTGAGGCTTCAGGCCTGTCCAAGCCCGGAGTGGACAGGGACCAGGGTTAGGTCTCTACTTCCCTCAGGCCAACACCTGCAGCCCTGCACTCTTCAGCCAGCCATCCTAGCCACCTCTGTTGAACTTGAACCTAGCTCCAGGCTGCACGGACAATGAGGCCCCACATAGGAGTGCCACTGTTCCCCCAACTGCTGGGGCAGAGGTTGCTTTTCTGAAAGGTCAGGGTGCTCGCCATCCACAGAGGACAGGAGGCAAGCAGTCTTCATGCCCTACCCTGTGGACTAGGGGAGGGGCTCCAAGAGGCTGGGGACTGGGCACCGGGTGTGTCCCCAGAGCCCTGAGCACCAGGGATGTCTGAACATCACTCCAACAACTGGCTGCTGCCTCCCCAGGGCTGACTGCTGCACACCTGTGCCCCCCAGCCAGAGCTGGAAGGGGGAAACACCACAGTGCTGGGTTATGACTGGTCAGGAGGAGCCAGTGTTGGTCACTAGGGCCTCGGAGAGCTCAAGGTTGGGTCTGTGGTGAGACTGGCACAGGCCAAGAGGCTGTACCATGGGGAGCTATCACACCGACCGGATCTGCCCTGTGCCAACTTCCAGGGCCACCCTTTCCCCCTACTCAGACCCTCGTGGACACCCAGCTAGCCCCATCTGGCCTGAGCTGGCACACCACGTAAGTGAACCATGGTCAAGCCTCGCCCTCTGCCCCACCTTTGGGCAGCCCACCAGGGACATTGGCCTGAGCCTTCGCATCTGCAGCCGGGAGCCAGGTCACCTGGTGCGCAGGGCCTGCCAGGCGGCGTCAATGTCGGCGTAGAGGTTCTTCTCCGAGGGCCTGCCCGAGCTGGCGCCGTAGCCGGAGTAGTCGTAGGAGAAGATGTTACAGTTGATGCGCGTGCCCAGGCCCACATAGAAGCTGCTCATCTGACCCAGGTCCACCGCATTGCCGTGGGAGAAGAGAACCGTGTACCTGGGGCACAGGCACCACGCTCTGTCCCCCACAGCCACTGCCTCACCCCATGGGTCACCCGCCCTCCTGGCAGCTGCCACTGAGGCCCTTGCTGCCCAGAGCTTCCTAGAGCGAGGGGACAGACACAGCCGATTGTGTCCCAGAGCAAGCGCACGGCTGCAAGGCTGTCCGGGCCCAAGTGGGGGCTGGATGCTCAGCAGCCCTTCCTGTCCCCCAGCAGCCCGTCCAGCTGAGCAAACCACAGCTGCTGCCCCGTGGCCTGAAGAGCTGGTCTGCGCGACTGAGGGTAGGGTGGGGTGGGGTGAAGACTTGCTAAGGAGACACAGCTCAGGGTCCCCAAGACCTGGGAGAGTTTCCTGGACAGGCGAGCACTGGGTCCAGCAGTGGACATCCCCTCCTTCTACACTGGCCTGTGGCTTCCTTCGCTGGGATTTGGGAGAAGAGTGCCCACCCTTTGACCCTCTGTGGGAGGGCCCTGGGCCCCCAGCTCACCTGGCACCGGGCACGCAGCGCACGTACATGCAGGTGACACGGCTGCCGCGGCTGCTCTTGGTCAAAAAGACCTCGATGGTGTCGAGCTCCCGCTGGCTGTACTGGAAGTCAGCCCGCTCCGTCAGGTGCAGCTTCCAGCGTCCCGGAGGGCCAGCTGAAGCCCGAAGGGGGCCGGAGGGGGTGGCACCAGGCCCTGACTCGGGCTCAGGCACCAGCGAGTAGGTGGGCTCTGGCGGCAGGAAGGCAAGCTTGGCAGCGATTCGGCCAGGGCAGGGCGGGCAGCAGAAGAGGCAGCAGAGCTCGCTCACCGACAGGCCGTTCATGGCGGGTGGGCGGCGCCGCAGGGGGCGGCGGGGGTGCTCCGGCCTCCGCCCCAGAAGAGAGCCCCGTTAGGAGGCTGCGGCCCGGCCCCATCGCGGTCCAAGCTGCGCCCTCTGGAGGCTGGCAGCCGCATGCCGCGGTGCCACACAGTGCGAAACTCTGCAGGGGAGAGGGAGCGGCTGGCTGGCACCCCAGAGGAGGCCCTCACCCCAGGATTGCTGGCCAGGCCCTTCAGGCCAGCACTCTTCCTGGGTCTGTGTCCCCCCAGGGTCCTGGCAAGTATGCTGAGGTTAAGCATGAGATGGACCCCATATGCTGAGGTTAAGATGGGTCCTGACCCTGTACAAGAGTGGTCCCTCTGGCACTGAACAGAAACGGAGACACGGGATGCCGGAGTTCGCCAGAGATCCAAGCGATGGAGCCTCGACAGCCCAACGACAGGACATCACCCCCTTACCCCCACCACCACCCCTAATCCTGGACAGCCCTGAAGTAAGGGAGATGAGACCCTTCTTATACTGACCCAAAGGACCCTTGTTAACCTCATCATGCCTGACAAGACCCACCCCGACTCCCAACTCCTGGCCTCCAGAGACACCTGCAGCTAGTGAGCTGGGCCACTCACCCACCAAAGGCTGGGGCAGGAGCCCACCTAGGATGAGCCTCAGAAGACAGGCCTAGCCTTGAGCCCCCAAGATCTGGGCAGCTGAGGACCTAACAGGGGCAGTCCTGGCTGACACACACAGGGGTCACCACGACTGGGTGTTCTAAGGATCAACTTCAACCACCGTGTGAAGCCGCATGGGGGGCACGCAGGCCCCTTGTCCTGGACCAGGATGGCATGGTCGTCAGCCAGCCCTCCTGTGCAGGCTGCTAACAGCGCTGTGCAGGGCTGTCTGGCCCCCACCCGTGAGGCAACCCTTGTGGGGAGCAGAGCAGCCAGAGAAAAGACTAAGAGCAAATGGGCCTGGCCAACTGGGTGCCCCGAGGGGCAGGCGAGGCCGGGATTTCAGGGCCAGGGGACAGGGTCCAGCAGCGGAAACACAAATCCGTTTCAGGAAACATACACAGGATGCATCTTGGGGCTCTGAGGTCCTGTCAGGCCAGAGAGCAGCTCCCAGTGGGGGTGGGGGAGGGGAGGGGCAAGTGGTCAGAGGCCTGAGAGGGTGAGACCTGCAACTCCCTCCCCCTTGCAAAGAAAATTCACGTCCACAACACCTCAGAAGGTGGCCTGGCTTGGAAATGGGGACAGTGGTCACTCATACCAGATGTCACACTGGGGACGGTGCTGAGTGCCATCGGCGGTTACACTCAGGACCCCAAGACAGAGGGGGCGGCCCCCAGGGTTTCCTGGGCTGCTGGGCGGGTGGAAGCAGCCCCCTCCCTGGTTAGCAGCCGAGTGGCTGAGCATTGGGCCACCAGGAGGCTTCCCAGTGCAAGGGGGGGCCCTCAGTCTGAGCAGGAGGCCACGTAACCACAGAGGACACAACAGGAGGAGGGACCACTGAGGAAGAAGGCAGGGGACAACAGAAGGGGGTGACTCTCCCTAGAATTTCTCCCAGAAAATGCACTTTGGTGGCACAGTGGCGGCACAGTGGCGTCACAGTGAGCTTGGCTCCACACCTCACAAGGCGGCCACACTGGAGGAGGGCCCAGCCCCTGTCTGAACTGCCAAAGAGGGCAGAATCTGGGCTGCTAGCCCCTGGGAAGGCGGTTCGAGCCCAGCAGCCCCGAGGGAGAAGGCGACAGTGTCTGCTCCTGTGAAGATTTACAGCCCCGGAAACCTGAAGAAGACACTCCACCCTGCCCCACTGGATGACCGCGGGCTTTGCAGGGGCCAGAGCTGTGCGGGCGCAGAGCCCCCGGGGGCATGCTGGCAGGCTCGGGCCCACAAGATGGCTCATGGGAGTCTCCCGTGGCAGAGAACTATGCCAGTCCCCTCAGGGCCCGCCGCTGGAGATCAGAGCTAGGTGGGCCATAGGACAGGAGGCCATAGGACAGGAGGCCCTAGACTACAGCACCCAGGTGGTCTCCAAAGAGCTGGGGACGTGGACTGCTCCAGGGAGCCCCCGAGTCCCCCAAACAGGATGCAAACTTCACAGGTCAGCAGTTGAAAGAGGGGATCGAATCTACTGCAAGGCAGCAGCAGCACAAGTGAGAGAAGCAAACGGGTAGGGTAGTATGGAGTCAGTCAGGACTCACAGCGACCCTACAGGGCAAAGGACTGCCCAGGGGATTTCAAGACTCCGCCTCACTCTCCCACCGAGGAGCTGGGGGTTCAAACCACCAGCAAGCCCTTGGCCAGTGTGCCACCAAGGCTCCTGGCTGTTTGTAGCAGCGGTCCTCAGAGACCATCGGTGGCTGTCATCGGAGTGGGGGGGTGTCGCCTTAAACTGTCCCTTGAGTGGAGACCAGGGACACTACTCCACACCCTACAGGACAGCCTCACAGCCCCACCTCAGAGCAGCTCCAGCCCTGGTCAGCAGGGCTGAGGGCAGACTGGGCTACAGAAGTCACTCTAAGACTCAGGGGGCCGAGGCCCCGGAAGTGTGCTGGGGTGCCCAGTGCCCCTGTTCCTCCTCTGGGTGTTGCGAGGCAGGTACTTCAGTTTCCAAGAACAGTGGGCCACTCCAGTAACTGGGGGGCGGGGGGGGGCATCCAAACCAACAGAAGGCTTCAAGAGGAAAAGGTGAGATGATTCCCCAAAGGAGAAGCCCTGCCTCTAGGCCAGCAGTTTTCAACCTGTGTGTTGAAACCCCTTTCGTGGTCAAAGGACCCCTTCACAGGGGTCGGCCAAATTGATAACAGTAGCAAAATTAGTTACGAAGTAGCAATGGAAATAATTTTATGGTTGGGGGTCACCACAACACGAGGAACTGCATTAAAGGGTCGCATCGTTAGGAAGGTTGAGAACCACTGCTGTAGGCCATCATGATGGGAGAAAGAAAGAAAAGGGCGGACGGACCAGCGGCAACGTTCCCAGCCCCTGCAGGCGGGCGGGCCTCACAGATCCACAGTTCCAGTCCCTGACACCCTCCACACTCATACACAGTCTCTCGCCTGATGCCCACTCACCGCAGTCCACGCATTACAGAGCAAAGCTGCTCCCCTCCATGGGGGTTTCTCGGTGCTAGCCTTTTACAGAAGGTCACCAGGCCTTTTTTCCACAGTGTTGCTGGGTGCACTCAAACTGCCAACCCACAGGCAGGGGGTGGCTGCTGTTAGGCACCCCAGAGTCGGTTCCGACTCATGCTCTAAGTTGGTGCATGCACACAGGTTGCAGAGAAGGGCAACGGGTGGCGCCCAGAACAAAGCCAGTCCCTAGCACAGCGACCCTACACAGGGTTTTCCAAACTGCTCATCGTTCCCAGAGCAGACAGCCTCCTCGACCCTCTCTCGGAGAGCCTGGTGGGTTTGAACCGCTGACCTTGTGCTTAGCAACCCAGGTGCCACTAAACCAAAGCCAAACTCACTGCCCTCAGGTGGATTCCACCTCACAGCAAGGCTGTAGGGCAGGGTCGAACTACCCCCTGTAGGTTTCCGAGATTGTAACTTTATGGGAACAGAAAGCCCCTTCTTTCTCTGGTGGAGTAGAGATGGGTTCGAACCACTGATCTTGTGGGTTAGCAGCCCCACGCGTTAACCACCATAGCCCTAGGGCTCCTCAGGGCCAGCAGGGCTGCCACACAATCCAAGATACAAACTCCTGGTCTTCTGGAGAGTCAACAGCTGAGGCGACAGGGGACGGAGGGAAGGTGCCCTGGCTAAGAGCACAGTCCCTTCTAGGGCCACAGGCAGGTGAGACCACACCCCTGTCATCTCAATACCCCCTCACACATCCAGCATACAAGACTCCATTGGTTCCAGCCGCATTCTGGGCGCCCCACCGCCCGGCGTGACGCCGAGGAGCAACAAATAAGCCAAGCAGCTCCGATTCTATCACAAACCCAGTACCATCTAGTCGCTTCTCACTCATGGCAACCCTATAATATAAAAGCTTCCTGAGGCTATTAAATCTTCACGGGAGCAGGGCTACACGGGAGCGACCTACATACTGAGGCTAAGGTGGCGCCAACCCCGCCAGCCAGGCCGGGAAAGCCGCTTGTTAGAAGGAGCGAGCACAGGAAGCAGCCAGGCTCCGGGTCTCCGGGAAGGAAGCGCGGGTGCAGAGCTCGGAGGCCCAGGGCATTCCAGGAGGCGGCGGGGTGAGCGCCGGGATCCCGGAGGAAGCCGGGTGGGGCCGTGCGAGCCCTGCGGCGGAGCGCCGGCTGCATCCTCCTGCGGGAGGTGGGGGGCCCCTGGAGAGCCCCGAGCCGGGGACAGACACCGGGGAAACGAGCTGCACTGGGGCGGGGAGGCGGCCCAGGTGCTCGAGGCGGGCAGGAAGACTCCGGGGAAGGTGCTGGGGCGAAATGGACGAACCGAGGTTCGCCCACCAGCTGGCTGCGGGGACAGGGTCAGAGGGGAGGGGACGCAGGCCGCGACCCTAGGGGCTGGGCGCGCATCCCACGTCGGGGACTGAATGGATGATGGATACGGGTTGGCCGGAGTCCCAGACGCTCACCCGCGGTCTCCGCTCCTGGCC